TATTGTATGATTCTATGAAATTTCCATTCCAGACAAAGCTGTAGAGATGGAATTAAAGTAGTGGTTCCAAAGGACATGGGTGGGAGTGGAGGCAAACGAGAGTGACTACTAATCAGTGCAGAGTTTCTTTTTCGGGTGAGGAAAATGTTCTTAAACTGATTGTGATGATGGTTGCACACTTCTAAATATGCTAAAAGTCATTGAATTATAAACTTTAAATGAGTGAGTTCTATGGTCTGTTAATTTTATGACAATGAAGGTGATTTTTTTTAACAGGATAAAATGACAAAGGAACCAGTACTCACAGATCTGTTAAAACATAAAGACATAGACAACAAAATACATGTAGTTCATTATCTGTTGTAGGAGGCGTGATAGACTATATCATGCTGCAGCAGCAGATCAACCCAAAAATCCAGTGATTTGACACAACAAAGGTTTCTTCTTATGTCAGTTACTACATGCATCACAGTTTGTCCAGGAAAGGAGAGGTCTCTCTGCATGTGCTCATTCAAGCACCAAGGCCAATAGAAGCCTTGCCTTCTGTAGCTACACCCTCTGGAACGTGCAGCCTCCTCAGTTACCATGGCAAGGGGACAGCCATTGGGCAGCTGTACTTCAACCCAGAAATGACACGTCACTTGTTCTCCTGCACATTATACAGAACTAGCTCATGGCTGTATCTAGCTCCAAGTGGGCAAGGAAATGTGGGCAAATGTAATGTTTGAGCACCACTGTTCTGTTCTGTCTGATATTTCATTTCTTTATTGGTGATAACATAGTAATACTTAAATGTATTGATCTCTTGATAGGGGCTAGACATAATCCTCAGCTTTGTATGTTTATCATCCTATTTAACTTTCAGGACTCTCCTATAAGGGACCTATAGTCTTCTCTCCCTCCTTATCAGTGATGTACTGAAGTTTGGACAGATGAAATAACTTGGCCAAAGTCACCTGGCAACAGGTAACAGAACTAAGATTTGAAGGCAGAGCTCAAACTTGCAACAGCTACATTTGACAGAATTCATAAAAGAGAGAGAATTCTGCCCAATGCTTGTGGTCAGAGATGTCTACACAGAGGTAAGAATGGACCTATCCCCTTAGTGCTAAAAACAAGGAAACCCCCCCCCCAAACATCTCCAGAGGTGCCCTGTAGTGGTATCACAAATAAGTATTTTGTTTTAAAACATTCCCAGGGCGGGTTCCAGGCTTTTACAAAAGAACTCAATATTAGAAGGTTCACATGAATCCTGATATCATCAAAGCCAGAAATATTAGTGAAGTTTTTATTTTTGTTGCCTAACGTGGCTGTGGCACTGCTGATTTGAAACGGAGGTTCTTCCCTCTAGCTGTCCATTCCTGCATGTCTTCAAAGGCACTCTCAGCTAAAATACATACAGACACTACCCTAGACATCTCCTGTCAGGTCGGGTCAGGAGGGCCAGTCAGGGGTCAGGAGCCTCCTGAGATATCCACTCAGGTGACGCTAAGTGTTTCTCCTGAGACTGGTAGTGTGAAAAGGTCCTTCCGTCTGCCTTGATCTTCGTGAAGAGCACAGACCCACAGCCCAGAGCTCCACAGATGGGGAAGCCACTTCTCCTGGGTGATGAGCAGCCTGGGCATGAAGCTTTTCCACACGTCCTCCCTTGTACCCCAAACTGTCTGTTCCTAGGAAAAAAGTAAGTATCAAGAAAACATACAGTCATAGCCAGTTAGAACGGGAAGGGGCCCTCACAGGTCCAACCACTTTTATTTTGCAGGAAAATAAAGCCCAGAGAGGTTTAATGGTTAGACCATACACACCCTGTTAGTCATCTTCTCCCTCCCTGTGCACCACTCTTTCCTCTCTACTTATGCTGCTTTACAACACCCAGATTTCCATGAGCTTTATAATAGATGTCTTAAATACATGGTTGGAGTGACAGACTTAAAAGGGAGAGCAGTAAATCCTTACCTCTGATTTAGAACGTGTTGTAGGAGAAACAGTACAAATATCCTAGCTCCCTTTCTGAATTTCTGGGGTTGCAAAACTTTCAGCATCTACTTGGGGAATCTCAGCTGTAACGCTATTTTCTTTAGGCACATCATGGCTTGGATATTCGATATTGGCTGAATATCCCACTATAACTAATAAGAGACGAGATAGACTATGATAATCATGCAGAGTGCCTGATTTTTTAAATGTTAGCATCTTTAATGCTTTTCAGAGAACATTCATAATCATTGCCATCAGAGCGGAAGAGCTGCCTATGAGGGAGATGGAAGGTGTTTTTCATCTCGCGGATCAACGAGGTATAGCCAGCGGCAGGCCTGTCCCCAGCCTAGTATCAAGAGCTATGGTTAGAATCAGTCTTGTTTTGTAGTACGATCCTATTCATATCCCTACACCCCGGTACCTACGAGTAGTATAGATGAGAAACTTGGTCAGTACATTGGCCATTCTTGGTACCTCAGTGGAATAGAAATTAACTTTTTACGAAAAAGAATATAACTGTATTCACCTGTTTATGCATTAGGGCCAAATCTAGCACTCTAGCAAGCACAGACATCTAAGAATTGAGGAACTAGACTCAGAAGAAAGTGATTTCATGGTAAGTAGGGTGTTCTGGCACATTCTGAGCACTTACATGATCATTTCATAAGACTTTATACCCACTTTTATGACAGCACTTATCATTCTTGGGGGATAATTTGTAGAGCTTAAAAAGTCAGGAATCATGTTATTCTGTTTATAATACTAGATTCTGGCACAGAGCTGGCTTATCTGCAAAGCCAGCTAGGAGGAGAGAGAACACACTGACACATCCCATGTGTCAGGCATTGTGTTAGCAGGGCTCCATAGTGCTCTAGTTTCATCATTGCAGCTCTGTAAAATAGATACACTAGGTATTACATGAACTGAGTATTTCACAGATAATGGAACTGAGCTTTGACGAGTGTAACATTCCCAAAGCCACATCCTATCTAAGTTGCTTATCAGTCAGGGGCACTTACCTGAAGAACTGGAAAAAGTATATTCTTGTATTATACTTGGAATAAATTGGCACCTTAGGCTGTTCTCCTAAATGGTTGTATTATAGCTATAACCGGACACATTTTTTCCCTCTCTTTCTTTTAGGGTTCAAGCTGTCTGTCTCATTTCTACCAATTCCTTTGGCACATCACTCCCTAATTGAGATTTGCATTGTGTCATATATTTTACTAGTTAGTAATAACTATCTTATACTATTGTGTTTATCAATCCATGCTTTTGTCCATGTTTTTTCCTACCTGGTCAAGTTGTACAGTAGTTGTAGAAGGAGTACGTGTAGCAGTAACAGCTTAAACTTCTTGAGTATTTGCTGTGTAACTGGCACTATTTCAAGTGCTTTCATGATCTAAGTTATTTTACTCATCTGCCTTAAAAGGTGAAAACTGTTATCATGCCGACTTGGAAAGTGAGGAATCAGAAATATAGGAAAGTTAACTTGACCCACTATTTTGAGAAAGGTGCTTCATTTTTGGTCATATTTTTTCATGTTGCCTGGGATCAAATCCCACCTCTACCACTAGATTTGTTGCTGGGGCAAGTAATGTACTACCTGAAACCTCAGTTCCATTTGAAATAAAATGTGGGTTGTAATAGAACCTGCCTCACAGAGTTACTAAATGTACTGGATGAGTTAATATGTGTGCAGTGGATAGCTAAAGTGTCACTTTCCTGACACAAAGTAAGTGCTATGGAAGTGCCTGCCTTATAATAAATCATCATCATTATTAATATTTCCTTGTTCTCCAAGCCACAACTCAGGAGTTACCATCTCTAGAAGGCCTTCCTGAGCCCCTGAGTTGGGCTGACCACACATGTTTTCTGCTTTCAAAGCACCCTAGGCAAACCTCTACTTTAGAAATACATTATGATGAACATACCTTTGCATAATAATCTCTCCCACTAGGCTATTCTTAAAGACAAGGGCTAGATCATATCCTTCCTTGAATATGAATAAGAATATGAATATATCCAGGGGAAAGGAACATGGTTGAGATTCCCGAGTCAGAAGTGCCTCTCGGCTGAGGCCTCTCGTGCTATAACCACAGCAGCCACTGTGAGCTGTCAGCTGCACTACCCCTGGGAGGTGAGCACAAAGACACGATGTAATATGTGTCTGGAGGTCTATGGCCTGGTTGAGGGCAAAGACTTTCTAGGTGAGAACAAAAGTAACTCTTCCATCGGCCTCTATTCCCCCTCCCCACAGATAAAACAAAGGCATAGGGAATGGTGGGGAACATCAGCCCATGAGAAGAACAAAGACTTGGACATAGGAAATAATCAAAGTTTTGCTTCAGCCTTTTGAAAAACTGTTCCTTCAGTTTTATACTTACTGAAATGCTAAGAATGTGCCATAAATCATGAAGTTTCCTCTAGCAACCAGTGGTTGAAGTGCAACATCCAACTGAAGGACCTCATGAATCAGGAAGAAAGTGTGGGTGCCCCTAAAGCAGGGCCCAGAATCACCATGTATCTATAGCTATTATGGGCACATGGGTAAGGTGGTCCTTCGGAGATGAGAACTGTACTTGATCATATACTAATGATTCACAAATGGTTCCTATATTTTACTGTGTCGATTAAGCTTTCTGTGTATATCTTAGCCAAGAACACTTGAAAGATTTGGCAAGTAGTAAAAAAATGTCCTGTGTGGTTTACTGTGATAGGGTATTCTAGAAAGCAAGCAAGCTGTAATGTGCCCCAGAGTCATAACATGGTCCCTCTGTGGCAGCCACAGTCAGCAAGGTCACGCCAGTGTCCTTCCAGCACCACTTCTACATGAACGACCTTGCTCAGCACACCCTTCCCAGCATTCAGTCCAGCTTCTTGCACACAGGCTCCTGCCTGGACAGGAAGGTGACACATGTGAGCAAGGGACCCTGTTCCTGCCCCAGCTTCCATGACTGTGACCAACTAGCATTGCCTTGTGCTTGTTCATTTTGTCACAGGTGCCTCCTGAGGATGCCCAAATGACTTCCACGGAGAACATTTCAGAGGTGACAGAATTCATTCTTGTGGGGTTAACAGATGCCCTAGAGATGCAGGTCCCTTTATTTATAATCTTCACTCTCATTTACTTCATCACGCTGGTTGGGAACCTGGGGATGATCCTGTTGATCCTGCTGGACTCTCGTCTCCACACCCCCATGTACTTGTTCCTCGGCAACCTCTCCCTGGTGGACTGTGTTTACTCCTCGGCCGTCACTCCCAAGGTGATGGTGGGGTTTCTCACAGGAGGTAAGATCATCTCCTACAATGCATGTGCTGCCCAGATGTTCTTCTTTGCAGCCTTTGCAACTATTGAAAGTTTCCTCCTGGCCTCAATGGCCTTCGACCGCCATGCAGCAGTGTGTAAACCCCTGCATTACACCACCACTGTGACAAGCACTGTGTGTGCCGTACTGGTCACAGGCTCCTACATCTGTGGACTTTTGCAGTCTTCCGTCCATGTTGCCTTCACTTTCCACCTCACCTTCTGTCATTCCAACACTGTTAATCACTTTTTCTGTGACATTCCCCCACTCCTGACCCTCTCCTGCTCTGATGTCTACACAAATGAGGTTGTGCTCTTTACTTTGGCAGTATTCAATGTGCTTTTCACTCTTCTGGTTATTTTGAACTCTTACCTGTTCATTTTTATTGCCATCCTGAGGATGCACTCAGCTGAGGGACAGAAGAAGGCCTTTTCCACCTGTGCATCTCACCTCACCACTGTTTCCATCTTCTATGGGACAATCATCTTCATGTACTTACAGCCAAGTTCTAGTCATTCCATGGACACAGACAAAATGGCATCCGTGTTCTACACCACGATCATCCCCATGCTGAACCCCCTGGTCTACAGCCTGAGGAACAGAGAGGTCAAGAGTGCATTCATTAAGGTGGTTGGAAAAGCAAAGTCTTCGTGGGGCTTAGCCTACTAATTGGAAATGGCATGCAAACCCT